GCTCCTGGATACCCTGGTCTCTACATCCAAGCTCTGTAACATGCCCTTGGACATCCCCCAGGTGGAGGATGAATCCAAGGAAGAGTAGCGTGCAGGCTCTGGGAGCAGACTTGTAGACATTTGGGCAAGGAATTCTGAGGGCCCTGTTATTCAAACCATGGAGGCAAATTTGCAAGCAGAGAATCCACAAATAATGAGGATTGACTGTACTCTGTTTTGGTTTGTTTGCTTGTTTTTGTCAAAAACTTCCTGAGAGTAATTAACAATTGGGCACACAGAAAGAGTAGAAGTGGGGTTATCAATTCTTTTGAACATCCTGGTGCAAAGAAGCCCAGAGTTTAAGAATTCAGTGTTGAGCTTTTTTGAGGAGAAGGGATAATTCCTTTTCTGTTCTTTTCACTGACAGATCTCTGTGTGGGGTGGAGGGAAACCAACTAAGCAATGGTAATTCACACCAGATTGCTGATCACTGTGCCACACAGGACACGCACTGTATAATTCGCCAAGTGCATTGATACCACTCAGCTCACTTAGTCATCACCACCCTCAGGGGTCAGGAGGGTTGTAAGGGTAGATGGAGTAGATGAGTTGTTATAACCTCCATTTTCAGAGGATGAAACCCAGGTTGAGAGAAAGGCTGTAGCCAGGGACAGAGAATAGAAAAGGAAGAGACCTAGGGACTGGTGTTCTAGGGCATTCTCTCTTCCCAACTGTTGTGTGCTTCTGGAGTGTAACCATCTCAGATTCAAGGGAGAGTCCTTTAAACCCATCGCAGTCAGCCAGGCAGGAGGGTCTGAGCAGTTTAGCCTGAACGCCCACCCATAAAAAGCAACGCATGGTTTCTATGTAACAGCTTAAGCATTCCTGAAACTGGCAGAGAGTTAGCAATCGATGATTAAGTAGCTGGGAACTAAAAGTTTTTTTTTCCTTTTTACAATTACTGATTATAGCTTTTAGCTGTTTAACCCACCCATCATTAACTGTGCTGTTGAGGCAATATGCTATCTGACTCCCACTAGGCTCCTATAGATAACATCTCCTTGGAGCCTGGGTCACCATGGTAATGGGTGTGTGAGCTGTTTTTCAGGAATTAGAACTCTGTCCACTCCAGGCCGGTTGAGACCACCAACTCATCAACCGGGCCAGCGCAGATGTCCCATAGGCAACCTTTTGACGTCAAGAGGCTAAAAACTCCACCCTCAGATCATGCTCACGCTGCCATTTTGTGAACATGGGTCCTATGAAGAGGCATGAAGTCTGACTACGCTTGCGTAGATCATCAATTACCTCACCTCTCCTCCCTTCCAATCACCTCTCTCCGCATTGCAGACCACCTTGCTCCCTATCCCATAAATATCCCTGAGTCCCTATTTTCAAGGAAGCGAATTTGAGGCTCATGCTCTCTTCCCCGCATGGCTGCCTTGTGATTAAACCCTTTCTCTGCTGCAATCTCGTTGTCTCAGTGTTTAGCTTTCTGGGCAGCAGGCAAGACTAACCTGAAGCAGTAACAATCCTGCCAAGGACTGCCCTTCACCCATTTTATTTGTATTCCCTTATTTGGCGATGTTACATAGTTCCTGAGATTCTTGAAAGCCCTCAAGAGTTTATAGAACCAGAAAAGTAGAGAGTCACTTTTCTCGGTCAGCTCAGCTTTGAACCATGAAATTAATCATAAGCACAATATTTTATTAGTAAGTAGAGCACCTGGGCTAGCCACCACTTGCATTACAAGAAAATAAAATAAAACATGAAAGAAAAAGAGGAGACACTACAAGCATAAGTAGAAACACTACTTAATGTCTTTGATCTCTGTTAATCATTTGTAAATTTCTTGCCTTCAACAAATGAATGACCTGTTTCATTCAATTTCATTAAATCTTCTGATCAGCCCTGTAGCACTGTCCTTTTTCCATACACGAGAATGCCAAGGTTTAGAGAGGTTAATTAACATGCAAAGGTCACACTAATAATGAGGGGCTGAGCTGGGATTCAAATCCCCATCAGTCTATTCCTAAAGCCATGCTGTGCCCTTAATCAGATCCCGTACTGAGCGAACTGGCAGGGGCATCATAATATCAATATATACTCTGCAGGGCTGGTGTGCAGATTAAAGAGATGATATACACAAAAAGAGTTTGGCAAACCATGAAGCCCTGTTCATTGTGATTCTTCCTCATGGTTGTACACAGGACTGGCTCTGCTGTCCTGAGAGGCCCAGTCTATAATAATCCCATAATTCATACTTAATCCACCAAAGTCTTGTTTGCCTGGCTTTCTCTATAGCCAAAGGGAAACTGAAAACATGCCTTTTGTAAGAAATCTTAACACCTGCTGCCAAAGGATGCCGGATCATCAGAGGAGAAGAAAGTCACTTACAAAAGACATAGATTAATTTGGACATTGTTTCCTTACATAAACCAAGCACAAGGAGGCAAGCGACCCAGGGAAGGATAATCATGCTGAGCATATAAGCACTTATTATAAATAATTACCACATAATTATCCACAACTTCCCTGAGTCTGGAGCCTGTGGCTGGTCTTAGAAGGTGGCCCTTCCTTACCAAGCGTGAGGAGACTGAAGCGCTTCCATAAGTTTATTAGGGCAGGCGTCTGTGTCTTATGGGGGGTCACCGCCATCTGGGCCTGCTTCTCAAACCTTACAGCCAAGGTGCGGAACAGCTCGGGGCTCTCTTCAGCTGAATCCATCTCCTCACGTCGTTTAATAGCACACTGCCTTTTTGCAAATGTGTGAATGTGACACATCTGACTTCTTTTCTTAAGTGACGTGTTTATTGACCAAGTTAATACACTGGGCAGGCGGTGACATTCCCCTTTGTGGTGTGCCTCTAAGCTGTGTTTTCAAGCCTTGAGGTGGCCCCGTTGAAGATAGGTAACAACACTTAAAGGAGCAATGGCAGAAGCCTTGATGAGTGCAGGGAGAGACACAGACGCTTCCAAGAGGGGCATGGTGTCTTCAAGGTTAATCAAGTCCTCTTGTTTTCATTCCAAGTCTACATTTATCTTGTTGGCAGCAGCCGCAAACGTGAAATCAAATCTCCAAACTTAGACAATTGGAATTGTATTTACCTGCTTGAGACGTGTAAATAAGCTATTCTCTGTGTCTTCTTAATTGGAATATAACGCATACTGCAAAGCTCTGGCCATAGGTCAGTGAGGGGCACACTTTTTTGCGGTGCTCAGATAAAATGGAAAACGTGGGGGGAGAGGATTCAATTCTGTATCCTGGATGAGGCAGCCGAAAAGAATGACAGTCACAGGCCTGGAATCTCACAGATTGTCAGGATCATCATTATTATTGCTATAGCTACGTTTATTGAGCCTGTTCTATACGACAAGTACTTTATTTGCGCTGTCTCATTTCACCCTTTTAATAACACTGTGATATAGCTAATATTATTTTCACCATGTATGGATGAGAAAAGTGAGATTAAGCAACTTGCTTGAGGCCACCAGATGGCAGGGTCTAGATTTGAGCCTGGGTCTGACTCACGCTCTGCCCTACCAGGGTTTAAGAAACCAGAACCTCCCTAGAATATGTAGGAACAGAGAACACAGGGCTTGGGGGAACCCTGAAATCATCTGGATGGATCAACCTGACAATCTGAAATCTTTGTTTTCAGAAAAGCCGATCAGAGAAGACTTAACCAATCTCTTTGCAAAGCCATTCATTTGTCCAACTTTGAGTACCAAGGATACAAGAAAGGGACCAAAAATATTATTTCTAGCAGTTTGAGTCTCCCCTGTAAGTTATATATATATATATATTTTTTTTTTTTTAAAGATTTTATTTTTTCCTTTTTCTCCCCAAAGCCCCCTGGTACATAGTTGTATATTCTTCGTTGTGTGTCCATCTAGTTGTGGCATGTGGGACGCTGCCCCAGCGTGGTTTGATGAGCAGTGTCATGTCCGCGCCCAGGATTCGAACCACCGAAACACTGGGCCGCCTGCAGCGGAGCGCGCGAACTTAACCGCTCGGCCACGGGGCCAGCCCCATGTAAGTTATATATTTTGATTCTTCAACTGTTAAGTTGATTGCCGTTATGGTCATTTGGGGAGAAATGTACAGAAACACTCCTTAAAGTATTAGAAATATTTGGCCACCTATGCCAAAATAGCCTAGTAAATAGCATAGAGAAGAAATACATTTGTCTCTAAGGACAGACCCCACCCAAATTATCTCTCCACGCTGCTGCCCAGGGTACCTGCAGAGTCTGGCTGGAAGCACGCCTGAGTGGCCTGAGAACAGAATTTGGTCCTGGGTTCACCAGATGTGCCTGTTCCAAAGCCACAGTCCAGTGGAGGATGGACGTTATGAAAGACAGGGCAAGCATTATTTAATGAAAATATAGAGACTCTTCCTTTGCTCACTCCATGTTTAGCTGTCACCAAATGCTCTCAATGCATCTAAACATCTTTCAAAGGTGCACCCTCCATCCCACAGGGACTGTAGTAGGTTGAATACTGTCCCCCTCAAAATTCATGCCCACCCAGAAACTCAGAATGTGACTTTATTGGGAAATAGGGTTTTTGCAGATGGAATTAGTTAAGATGAGGTCATAGTGGATTAGGTTGGGCCCTAAAGCCAATGACTGATGTCCTTATAGGGAGAGAAGAGGACATGCAGAGACACACAGAGAAAAAAGCCATGTAAGATGCAGGCAGAGACTGGAGTGATGCAGCTACAAGGCAAGGAAGGCCAAGGATGTGTGGCAGCTGGAAGAGGCAAGGAAGGATTCTCCCCCGCAGCTCCAGGGAGGAGAGCAGCCCTGCCAACACCTTGATTTCAGACTGTTCCAGAACCGTGAGAAAATAAATTTCTGTTGTTTGAAGTCACCCAGTTTGTGGTAATTTGTTATGGCAGTTCTCAGAAATTAACATAGGGACTGCCACACACAGTTTTGCAGCGACAATTTTCCTATACTCCCCCAACTCAACTCCTCCCATAGGTGCTACCCCCACCCCCACCCTGCAACAATTACCTGGTCAGCAGACTTCTCTTCTTTGAACCTGGATAACCTTCCAAAGACCCTCTGATTCACTAATTCTGCTTTCCAGATTTTTTTTCCTAAGGAAATAATCAGATGCATTATAATTTTTTATCTGAAAATGTTTCCTAGTGCATTAATAATAAGGAAAAATTGGAAGCAACTCAAATGACCAAATGTTGGAAAATGGTTGAACAAACTATGGTATAGTCATACGATTGAACATTATGCAGCCATTAGTATTACGCTTTTGAAATAAGAATGTGTGAAAATAATTGGGATATATTGCTAACTGCTAAAAGAAGGATAAATAACTCCATATAATATGGATCCAATTTTGTTTCATCTCTGAGGACTCACAATGGGTTTGTTTTGTTTTGTTTTTGTTTTTTTTGGTGAGGAAGATTAGCCCTGAGCTAAGATCTGTGCCAATCTTCCTCTATTTTGTATGTGGGTTGCCCCACAGCATGGCTTGACAGTGGTGTAGGTCCACGTCTGGGATCTGAACCTGTAAACCTGGGCTGCCAAAGTGGAGCACACCACACTTAACCACTACGCCACAGGGCTGGCCCCAACAATGGGATTTTAACCTGATCTTTTTGTATATCCTCATATTTCTATAATGATCATGTATTATGCTCATAATAAAAACTAAGCAATACATCTTATTCAAAAAATTCAGAAGACTTCCATGAAGTGGCTTTCCAGCTATTTTGACCACATCTCATAGTAAGAAATACGATTTCCATTATAACTATAGGCAGTTGAATAATGGGCCCCCACCCCCCCAAGACATCCATGTCCTAATTCCAAACCTGTGAAGATAGTTTCTTTCCTTTTTTTCAAAATCTAACAGAACCTGGCACACCACAAACTCAAAGACAGGGTGCCCCAAATATGCTTTAAAGCTTCAAAAACTTCAGAAATATAAATGCTACAAACTTATAAAACTATCATTTGAAAGTTGACTTCTTTTGACTCTAAGTTTTAATTATTTTAATAGACGTTATTATAATTTTTTTTCTTTTAGTCAATGTATGTCATTTTTCACTCAGGGGAACTGAAACAAAAAGTTAAGATTAAAAAATGTGTCACTCAAAATTCACAAAATTCAGTAAGTGTAAAATACATTTAATTGAACTTTCAAATGATGTTCTTTTGTAAGTTGCAACGTTTATACCTCTGAAGTGATTAAAACGGCAGGAAAACTTTTGTGCCACCCTGTTTTTGAATAAGTATGCTAAAGTATGATTCATTTTATATTTACTTTGAAATTTAGTTTGGTTTTCATTTAAGTGGCTCCATTTGGGGCACAGGTATTCCTTGGCCAGTGGCTCTCCTTGTGCTCAGGCCAAAGGGGCTTTGCCCAGGGGCCACACTTTAGAAGGCCCTCCTCTGGCCTTGGCTGGCTGTACTCCTCCTCATAGGGTGAGGGGTCTGTGGGGCTAAGTTTATTGTACCTCCTGCCCCCAAATCCACACCTCCCCAAACCTTGTTCTGAATGTCCAGGATCCCCAGATTGCCTCCTCAAATGGCACTGAGCCTGCTTCAAGGGCCTGCACACCAGCAGCAGTGCCGTCTGCCAACATCCACACTCCCGTGGGTGAACAGCACTGCAACTGGTGTGCACACTTTCAGGCCCAAGAAGTGGCCAGAGGCATGGCTGCTGCTGGGGAGGTGCCCTGAGCTTCCATATTGGAGTTGGAACTTAGGGAAGAGAGGAGGTGGCTGCAGAGCAGGGCTGGAAACCAGCGCTGCCTGCACCACCACATTTAGCTGCAGACCATCAAGGAGCTTGAGCCTTGCCTTTCAGGTCATTCTGAAGGTATATTTGTCAAGGTAGGGAGGGTGAACCTATTTTATTTGATAGTTTGTTAAGGGTGGGCTGACCTTGGTCTTAAAGTAAAATTTTTTTTCCCCACCAACGAATTTTTCCCCATAAAGAAATAAGTGGGTGGGAGGTACTTCCACGCGTGATCTCCGACAGGAAATAGTGATGCCGCAGTCACCCAGCACACACTCTGGGCCAGAGGACTCACAGGGAGCTTCCCATTTAGTCCTCAGTACAACCCAATAGAGTGGGTACTTAAGAGAGAACTGACACTCAGTGACATTAAGTAATTTGTTCCAGGTCACAAAGTTAGGGCTACAGACAGCCTTAGTTGCACAACAAACCACCCACCACAGAAGTGGTTTAATAGAATGATTTGGGTTTTTTCCCCTGATCAGTGGGCTGGTGGGGCCATTCTGCTGCTGGTTCCACCTGGACTCGCTCATGCAACTGCAGTCAGCTGGAGGGCTGGCTGAGCCGGAGGGTCCCAATGGCTTCTCTCGCTTCTCTCCAGTTGGTTCTGCAGTGTTTGGCATGTGTCAGTTCTCCTGCACGTGACCTCTCACTCTCCGGAAGCCACATTGGTTTCTTGGCATGATGGTCACGGGGCAGCAGTTTCAAAGCAGAACCTACAGGGTTTTTGATTCCTGGGATGGAACTGGCACTTGCCCACGTTCTAATGGTCAAAACCAGTCGCAAAGCCAGCCCGTATTAAAAGAGAGGGAAAACCAGACTCTACATCTTGATGGGAGAAGCAGCCAAGTGGCCTTGCCAAGGAGCATGGTGACCTTGTTGTGGTCATCTTTAAACATAATGAATCAGAGCTAGTACTAAGTAGCAGAGCCAGGATTCAAAGCTCAATGGCCTGACTGGGGTGCTCTAAACAACTGTGCCACCTCTGAGCCACAGGACATTGGGGGACATAGACAAGGGAATGACGACATTCCTGCAGTTGTCTTATCTCCTCACTCTTGCAATCTCCTTATCTTTTTAGTCTCCGGCTGCCTCCCACGTCTAGCCCAGAGCCCAGCCCCTGGTGGTGGTTAATAATACAGACTCAGGTCACTGACAAGAGATGTGACCCTGAATGGGGTACTTACCCTCTCTAAGACTCAGCTTCCCGCCTGCAGAATGGGGATAATTACATTACAGAACACATCAGTTTGCTGTAAGATTCTTATGTAATAATGCAGAGACAGCGCTTGACACAAGGTTGGCCTCTGTGCGCTCTCAGTGGTAGTGTGATGGGAATGAGAACTATGGATGAGTGCATGTGGGCTTTTTAAACAGTGGGAGTAAAACACCACTCGGTTTCCAGATGCAAGCACTGGTATGGGGAAATACTTTCAACAGCGCTGAAATTCTAAGATCGCAGCTTAAAAAAAGTGGGAGAAAAAAAATCAAAACCAACCAACCAACCAGAGTTGCACCGCAGCCTATCCCTCTCTCTTAATTTTTAAGATTGCAGCCTGGGACCGCTTGCTTCTTCCAAGATGGGAACTGCTGACCGGGCGTGGCCAAGTCTCCGGGAGCGGGGGGGTGGGGCCATACCTTTGGTCTGGGTCACGTGTCGCCGAGAGGAGCGCTCTAAAGCTCGCGGTCTGCAGGGTACTCGTGACTGGCAGGGTCGAGGAGAACGGCCGCCTCCCTTCTCCCCGACTTGGGCGTCTCTGTGGGCACCGGGTCTGCGCGCACTGAGAGGCCGGGCGGGGCGCTGCCTGCGTAAGTGCCCGGGTCGGCTGGGGTCGTGCCGGCGCGGCGGGCGAGTCCCCTCTCATTCCCCGGACGCCGGGAGCGCAGGGCGGGTGGTCTCTGCAGCCCTCTGCACCAAGGAGGAAGAAAGCACCGTGGGGGTAATATTGGGGTCTCGTGGTCTTGGCCGGCTAGGGGTTTCCAGGTTGGGGTCTTGGGGATGCCATCGTCTCTGGGTGCGCGCAGCCCGCGAACACTCCCGACAGCTCCAAGGCGGTCGCACTTGGGCTTTTTCCAGACCAGGAGGCGCCTCCAAGTCCCTCCAGGAGCCCGTCCAGGGCAGTGAGAAGCCGCGGGGTCCTCCCTTACTCTCGGTGCGGGGGATGGGGGCGGACGCATGTTCCCTTCCGCCTCCAGCACGTCTCTTTGGGATGTTTTGATTTCGTGGGTGCTGTGGAGGAGTGGACGCGGAAAATGCCTTCGATTTGAGCGTGCCCCACAAATGGAGATTCGGCTTGAGCGAAGGAAGGAAAGCACACCAGAAGGACTGTTGTTCCTGGCTTGTAGGATTAGGAGAAAACCAGGGTCTCCGGACAGGTGGAAGCAGCTCTCTGCCAAGTGGATTCGGTCCTTGCAGGGGAAGTCATAGGAGCCAGGGGGACACGTAGAGACGCTGTGTGAAATGCAAACATCCATTACCTTCAGGTCAGCTAGGTGTCATCGAGAAAAATGGGCTTTGGCATATTCGAGTCCCAGCTCTGCCTTTTGCTAGTTGGTGACCTTGAGCAAATTGTTTAAGCTTGCTAAGCCCTCAGTCTCCCCATTTGAAAGACACTTGTCTTTTCCGCTTCCCCTTAAATGTACAACTACTTTTTACTTTTTTTAGTGTGGGATGAGTAAGAACAGAGAGGTAAGGGGAAAAAAACCCAATGAGAATGTATTTTACTAACTTGAAAAATAACTTTTAAGAAAATTGTTCAAAATGGGAATTGGAACACTTTCGAAAAAGTAGACCGCGCTGGCTTGGTTGGCATGCGAAGGTCTGTACAGTTGTCAAGACTCTTTAGCTGATTGTACTTTCTAGACCTCTACCCCAGGTTAATCTAAGTCCAGTGGAAACCTTTTATATTGTAATGCCAGCGATCTTTGCGAGAACTTGTCGTATTCTTCTCTTGTAGGAGTCGTTTGCTTTGGAGGGGCATAATTGGTTCCACAATGTATATGATTGGTCCAGCTTATAAACCAAATTACAGTGAGCTTCTACTAGGCTGGTTTTATGGCCTGAGAAATAAATGGGCTTTGACTGACAGGCAGTTCAAATGACTTAGAAGAGTCTTAATTAAGCTAGTCCACTGAGCTGACCAGTTTACTCCTCTCAAAAAAAAAAAAAAAAAAAAAAAAAAGAAGCAAACAGCGTGGCAGTATTTTGTTAATGACTTTGTTTTTGTTTTGGGAAGCATGTGATTTGTCAGAGGAAAAGCTGAGTATTGAGTACCGCGGTATGCACCGGACTAAGACGGTGAGAGAGGAGGAACTTTGTCACTGCCTCAGATAACATCAGATACCCTTTATTATCACCCAGATACCCCAGGTAAATAGGTAATGACTATTCTTAATAGGAAGTATAGTTCATTGAAAAGAGCAAGCACAATCTTTTTAGTTTAACATTCCCAGGGGGTTAATAATGTGGCGTTTTCATGGACTGAACCAAGAACATTTACAACTAATGGGGCAGTTTCTCCTAACTAGAAAGGCAGCCCTAGAAGAATGGCTCATTCATATCTGCATTGACTTGGAAGAGGGGTAAGCTGGGCAGAAAGCTAAGAACTATCCTTGCCTGGTCAAAACCAGGAATGGAAGTTGAACTTTTATGCTATACATGTGTTTGCAAGTGCAGAGATTTAAGCAATAATAGACTCAGTTCACAGGACAGTGATCAGGTACTTTCTTCATAAAACCTACACTCCTGAGCATAACTGAACCAAAACCAGAGTGTTGGAAGTTTCTCTCCTTTGGAGATATTGCAGGTGCAGCCTCGAACGTGAAACCGCATGCTTTTCCTTCATTGCTTTAACCCAGAACCCAGGGAGCAAGAAGGGGGTGGGGATTGAGGGGGAATGACTCTGCATCCTTAGATCCATTAGCCTGAAAAAGCAAAGTCTTAGCATCTTATCTTTCCAATATCCTTAGGTCTTTTAATCTTCTCTCCATATTCTGATTCTAGTTAGTGGCTATCTTTAAACTGCTAGGGTTGTTTACTGGCCAAAATATTTATTTAGGCATCCTGGGGCTAACCTTCCCTCCTTTCTCATTTGGGACTCCATATCCCATTACTCATCTTTCAAAAAGACCCCTTCACCCTGTATGGTTCTCTGGGGAGGAGGTAACCCACCTCCCAAGAAATTCATTCCCTCATCCATTTATTCATTGAACTAATATTTTTCTCAGTATTTGATTGTGAAAATTTTCAAACATTCAGAAAAGTCAAAAGAATTTTACAGTGTATACTCCCACCTAAATTCCATTATCATTCAACTGGTAGTGATTTGATGCCTACTATTTGCCTGGAGCTATGCATACCTGTAAAGGCAGAAAAGGCAGAGTAAAGTTAGGGAACGAAACAAGGAAGGGTTTAATTTGGCTGGAGCATAGAGTTTGTGAAGGGGTCATGTGACTTTGGTCTGGAAAGTTATGCTAGAGTCACCTAGTGGAAAGCATTGAATTTCATGGCAGGAATTTTATTTCACCCTGGTTGCAGTTGGGAGCCATTGAAGGCGTTTGAGGAGGGGAGTGCCTAGTGCTTTAGAAAGCTCATTCTGGCATCAGTGTTAGCATGAACTGGAGTGGAGAGGACCAGAAGTCTGAGAGATGAGTTAGGAGACTTTTCAAATTTCCTGGGGCCAGTAAAAATTGAACTGTGAACAGAATGGATTGCAGAGAGAGAGAAACGAGGAAGAACAATGGGATTTTGTAAGCAGTTTGACACAAGGACTGTTTTAGAGCCCTGGCATCTGCAAGGATAGTGTGGTGCCATTAAGGATCGGGAAGTGAGAGGAGGAGGAAGTTCAGGGGGGATGGTGATGTTTTGTTTTAAGACTCGGTGGGTTTGAGGGACCAATTAGGTGTCCGTATCGCGGTGCCAGCTGAGAGTGGGGAGCCCAACAGCAAGGTCAAGATAGAACAAACACCTGGACTTGCAATTATGATCAAGGGATGGTTGAATGAGGGTGTATGGAAGGAGAAAAGAAGGACAAGACCTTGAGGGAAATCTGAATATATAACCTTCTCAGAACAGCAAACAATACAGGTGTTCACTCATCACTTTGTGTCTTAGTGATGGTTCTATCTACGGTGTTATTGTAGCCAAAGGTCTCCTTGATAACTTACAATAGTCACAAACTAAAAAACATATCCATACGAGTGAGTGGAGTCTTTCCTATTCCCGTTACAGGGAGGCATGGCATTGGGGCGGGAAGGAGGGGAATAAGGTGGGAGAGAGGAGGAAAGAAGGAAAGTTAAATATGTTTTTATCTAGGACTTTTTGAATATACAATGCTTTATCCGTGTAAACCATTTCCAAACATCAGGAAACCAGGTAATTTAATGAATTTGTCTCTCTTTTCACAAGGCAGCGCCTACTTAATCTGGGAACCATAACATCCTATCCTGATGGTGGCCATATTTTCCAAACCAAACCTTAAGTGTGACTCATATTCTGGATGCCTGGTCACCAAGCCTTTATCCAAATATTTAGCAACCAAAGCTCTACCCTCCCTTTCCATTTGAATACTTTAGTATATGCTCTATGTGCTGAATAAAAAAATATTCAGCTCTGTAAACCCATCTTATTATAATAATTTACCACTGATGAGGCAAGGGAAATTAGATTTATTTAGCATCTGTTCTGTGGCCTGGGACTGTTCTAAGGTTTTGAGTTAGAAAGTGAGGACTAGGACTATCTTTCAGCTCTCTGCAGTACCTGGTGTGGGTTTATTTATGTCTGTGTATCATCTCATGGATCTGTCACAATAACAATGAAGGGTAGTGCGGTTCTACTCAGAAGGCAAGTGCTTTGTCCCACTTGTTTACATATCTAAGGTCACTTTCCCTTTTTCCTTACATTCCCTCCATCCTGAGTCTTCAGAGAGAGGGTGGGATAGGATATGGGATGGACAGCAGGATTGTGTTGACTCTGCAATTGATTGTAATTGACTCAGGTAGGCATAAGGATTGTGCTCTGTTTTCTCCATCCTTTTTTCCTGAAGTTGGAAGTAGCCAGTTGCACAGTGAGCAGTGGATTGGTGTTGGGAGAGAGGTAATCGGCCAGTGAGGACTTGAGTGAGCGCAGTGTTTATTAGTAATGGCTTAGAGAACAGAGTTCCTTGTACCTTATTTCAGCGCTGACCCGGTCTGCCTGGAGTCACTGGATTTTGTACGTCTGTCTTCTTCTCCTTGAAGGCAAGTGCCATCCCTTTTTCATCTTTGACTCCACCAAAAGTTTTAGCAAAGGATCTCACACCTTATTATATGCATAGAATATCTCTAATGAATCGAATTCTATTAAAGGAGAGGAAATCTTTTGCATGGAAAAGAGTGTGGAGGGGCCTCTGGTTTGAAGGGAACTGCGGTTGCTGTAGGGAAAGGCCTGGCTGGGGCAAAGCTCCTAGGCTCCCGAGTGGAGCAGCGACAAACGTAGAAAGTTAACTAAAGCTGAAGCCATTCTGAGGCATGTGTGGACCTTAGGATGCACAGTTTATATTTGACATGGGGGAAAGTGGCAGTCTTGGCTAATTCTGAAAATGAGAAATTTTCCTGCCTGGATTTCTTGATGAAGAATGTTATTAGCAATCAGCAAATCAAGCGGAAATAAGGTTTTTTTCCTCCTCCTCTCGATGTTGGAGAGCGTTTGTAGAATTAACTTTGCTTGGAGGAGAGCAAGTCCCTTGTGCTGTGGCACAGGCGCCTTCTGAACTGCAGACAGCAGCACCT